GTGTGTGTGTGTGTGTGTGTGTGTGTGTGTGTGTGTGGCCTGGAGCACAAGTATCATTGGTTCTTGGTCATGTGCTAGCTCTAGAAATGTTTGCATTCATTTTATTTCTAATCTTCAGTGATTTTTCAGTCTATTCGATATCTATCATCTAATCATGCCCATTCTTAAAAGTAGCCTTTTCCCACAAGGATACCTCCAAAAGGTTCGAGGTGTTAGCTTAACTAAACTCCTCAGATCCTTTCAGACACATCTGCTTGCTTGCGTTGTTCTAGTAGCGGAAGTGCTCTTCTTGTTGTCTGTTTCTCGGCAGCTCTCCTCATACATTAAGTGTGGCCTAAGTTCCACCTACTCAAAGAAAACAGCTCCCATTGCTTAGGTATGATTGAAGTGCTTAGTCCCCTTGTCTCTATAGCAGTGTGCATTGACAGTTTTACAAAGTTGTACTGTTCCGCACATGACATCAGCCTGGACTGTCTTTCCCTTCCTCTTTGCAGTGTGACCTATGATGGGTTTGAGAGAAATGTTGCAACCACACATGGTAAGTAGTAACGAAGACTTGGGTTTTATACTGAATGCACTTAAAGCTTATGCTTGCATTTCTCTCTGCTCTAGGGACCTCCAGGAACTGGACGATAGTACCCAGCTCCCACTGCTTTGCCACTTCTCAGAAACTGCCGAGGGACTCACTACTATCCGGGCGTTTCGGTCAGTACCATGCTTCTATATTCCTGATTCGGCAATTACATCATGAACAAATGTCTATCTACAAATAGCTGGTTGTTGCTACTGGTGTGTGTGTGTGTGTGTGTGTGTGTGTGTGTGTGTGTGTGTGTCCCTGGCACAGAGCATAAAAACCTGTTCCGGCATGATCACAATTAGAGTTTGAATCATCTGAAATCTTGACAGGCATGAAGAAAGAATGAACATCATACTGAAGTGTGTTAGCTGTGTGTCCCTAGCATCAGTCTGTTCATCTGTGAAATGAAGAAATCAGTCTCGTTTCCCGTGGTGGTTGGGTTAATTGAAAGAATGCACGGGAAGCACCAAACCCAGGGAGTTCTGGATAAGCATCCAGTGGTGGTGGAGCCCTGGTGGTTTGGTGGTTACTCCCAGGCTACAATCCCCATGGTGAGCAATTTGAAACCACATGCAGCTCCTGGGGAGAAAGACAGGTCTATCTACTCTGGTAAATAGTTACAGTCTTGGCAACTCACAGGTGGTCCATATGAGTCAGCATCGACTCCATGGCAGCCAGTTTGGTTTGGTTTAAGCAAGTTCAAGGACACATAATGGGGAAAAAAAAAATAAAAACAAGGTACTAATATTACCACAAAGTTATTTTTTAATCATTTAATTGGGGCTCATACAACTCTTATTACAATCCACACATACATCAATTGTGTAAAGCACACTTACACATTCGTTACCCTCATCATGCTCAAGACTCTTGCTTTCCACTTGGGCTCCTGGAATCAGCTCCTCATTTTTCTCCCCACCTCCCTTCCCTCTCCCCCTCCCTCATGAACCCTTGATAATTTATAAATTAGTATGTTGTCATATCTTACACTGCCATACGTCTCCCTTCACCCACTTTTCTGTTGCCCATCCCCCAGGGAGGAGGTTATATGCAGATTCTTGTAATCGGTTCCCCCTTTCTACCTCACCTTCCCTCCTGGTGTCACCACTCTCACCACTGGTCCTGAGGGGTTCATCTGTCCTGGATTCCCTGTGTTTCCAGTTCCTATCTGCACCGCTGCGCATCCTCTGGTCTAATTCTATTCATTTTCTTAAATATCGGTAAACATAATAGGAGACACAGTAGTAAGATTTGGATAGAGTGTGTACTTAACACATAAAAGTTACTTTGCCCTGTTTTCCTTTTTCAGGTAAGATCAGGAAAAAAACTGGAATTGCTGAATATTTCATTTAACCCAGAAAATTGGCATTTTAAAGAATTAAATTTCACTGCAACCCCAAATGAAATTGGATTTCAACCAGACATTTTTAAACTTAAGCAATCTATAAAACCTAAGGAATATTATGGCCAGAATATTTTATCAGGAGAGACCAGTCCCAGGAGAAGGCCATTATGCGTGGTAAAGTGGAAGGGCAGTGACCAAAGAGGAAGGCCCCCAAGATGAACTGACACAGGGGCCGTAACAATGGGCTCAGACATCGGAACAAGGGCAAGGATGGCGCAAAACTGCCAGGTTTTATTCTGTTGAGTGTAGGGTTGCTATGGGCCTGAGTGACCCCTAACAACAACAACAAGGAATAGGAGGAAGAACAATGAGGCTTTCTTAATGATGAGTTGGAATCGACTGGATGGCAGTGAGTTTAAGGAATATATAAAAATACAGAATTGTGTCTAAAATTACATTAAGACACAGCCATCCACAAAGTTATATACCACATGAATTCCACTTAGGTCTACAACAGTTTCTTCATGAAGCATGCACACTTTCTGCAGTGGTATATTTTCCTGCCATAGTGATTGGTGCTTTCTATGGAGGTGTGGGAGCAAAATGAGGCTTTCTGCTCCTATAAAGAGTCGTAGCCTCAGAAACACAAAGGGGCAGTTTGACCCTGTCCCATAGGCTCACAATGAGTCAAAATTGACTTGGTAGAGTGAGTTTATTAAGGATGGTAAAATTATTGATTGACATTGAATGTAGATCTTAAAATTAAAATTTAAATGCTCGTCGTGGCTAGCAGTGATCAGTGTTATTTATTCTGTATGTTATATTTAACCTTATTTTATTCACCAAAACAGTCTTTTCAAGTTAATTTATTTAAGAAATACTTATTTTAATGCTTTATGTATGTGAGGTTCTGCTCTTGACCGAAATTGGCAAGGCCTTTCCCAGTCACACCAGCTAAAGATGGCACTATTTGCGATTGGCCTGCCACATTACCTTGTTTATTTTCTTTGTCATGTTTATCTGAGTATCGTAACTATAATTTAAAAATCTGTTTACATGTTTACTGCCTATCCCTTCCAACTAGAATGTAAGCCTATGCAAGCAGATCTTTTATAGGCTTTGTTGTATGAACACCTGGAATGATGCCTTGCTCAAGAAAAGCATTGCCTGACTTTTTGTCTTGCATGGACTCTGCCCTAATGAATTCACAGTCCTTCATGGGAGAAAAACTAACCAAGCCAAATGGATGGCAGCTCAGTTGATTCCAATGCACAGGACAGAATAAAACTGCCCTATAGCTTCCTGAGTAGAAGGGTGGATTCAGAAAAAAAAAAGTAGTATGATATATTGTTTAATATATGTATTACAAGATGCATATCTCAAAGGAACAAAGGGCTAGTTATTCAGTAACAAATCCCCAATAAATAATAGTAGTTCACTTGACAGATAAAGTGGATACATTATTCAAAATAGAGGTAATGGATAGAAAAAAGTGTGAAAGTTTCTAATTTACACAGACTTTGCAGCTTAGTATTGTTTTAAGTCATCTACAAAGGGTGGTAATTGGTGTGATGGTTGAAAAGGTAAATGGAGACCAATAGATAAAAGGCATAGAATGCATTATTTTAAAGAACTTGGATTTTATTGTTCCCATATGTGGTCGTCACTGAAGGATTTTTAGCAGGAAAGGCACACGATTGAGTTGTTTTCATCAGAATAACTGTGGTTTACTTGAAAAGACGCATGGGGGATGGTTGAGGACAAAGACAAGAAGGAGCCAAGACATTATACAGACTTGTAGGTGACAAAGGCTCGCTAAAGGTGGAACAGAGAGAATGGAGCGAAAAGCACAGCATCGAGAACTGTTTAGGACAGGGCTTCTGTGAGATTAGGGACTAATTAAATGTGAGAAGTAAGATTGAGGGAGAAATTGAAGATGATTCCTTCTATGTTTCTAATTTCCATGAGTGAGTACAATTCTCCAAGTTCAGAAATTCAAATAGAGACAATGGAGGAAGGGAATAAAGAATTCCGCTCTAAACAATGGAGGTGGCTGATCAAATATCCAGGTGGAGATTTTATGTAAATTTGATATTTGCAAAGGAGCTCAAGGCTAAAGGTAGCAGGTTTAGCTATCATCCTTCAAAGGGTATTATGTAAAGTTTTAGTCATGGATTTGATTGTCAAGAGTGTTACCAGAAGTTGGCTCAAGGTATTGAGCCTCTCCACTTCTCTGGTTTTGGCCCACTGACAAGAAAAATTTCAGGTGAAAGACAAAATTCAGATCAGAGTCAGAGAAAAGGTTTGAAGAGAAAGAGTAAGGGGATACTTGGAAAAGAACTCCAAATGGCCCTCCTTCCTCACTGTCATTGAGCCCACGCTCACTCATAATAACGGCAGAACAGCGCATAACTGTCCCTGTGAGCTAGAGAGTCCCATCTTTCTCCCGAGGAGCGGCTGGTGGTATCGAACTGCCGACCTTACTGGTCACAGTCCAATGCACAACCACTACATGACCAAACCAAACCCCTAAACCCAGACTTACTGCCATGGAGTCAATGCTGACTCACAGCGACCTCCTGCGGGGTTTCAGGGACTGTCACTGGTTACAGGAGTAAAAGGCCCAATCTTTCCTCCCACTCCCACCACCACCTCCACCCCTGCCCCCAAGGAGGTGCTGCTGGTGGTTTTGAACTGCCAACCAAGCAGAGAGCTGGTTTTCTGGCAGGTCTTCTGCTATCGGCTGGTTCTCTAGAGTGAACCTCTTCTTTCCAGATAGGTGTGTCCCTGTACTTCAGGCCTCATCTCCAGACATGAAACCCTAGCGCCCCTTCAGCCATTGTGGGGTAGTGTAAATATCCTATTTTTTCCACTCGGCCTTTACGATATCTCCGTTCTCTATCATTCATGAGGAAATGTACCTCACCTGCCCGGCACCTTCCTTGGAGCTGCAGAGGTATGTGGGAAACACATTTCCTTTGTGTTCGGAGTCCTGCCAGATCCCAGCTTGTAACTCACCAGCAGCAGGAATTAGACTGAGAATGGAGGGGCTTAGATTAAAGTTGCAGAATACCAGGATTTAATAATCAGGTGGATTAAAACAAAACCTGTGGGACATATGATCTGTCGACTGCTGACTATTTAACCAAAGCTGATCCTCCTAGGTGCCTGCTTCAGAGTAAGCAAGGCTGTTTCTTCTCCGTTTAACCAACCAGTGCTTATCTCATTGCTGACATTAACAATGATTATCATCATCTGTGGGAAGTCTTCCAGGCACCAGAATGTAGATTCCATGTCCTTCTTAAGATCTCAGTATTACATTTACCATATCCTAATCATCTGTTTGTGTGTCTGTATCGCCATCCCCCATTCCCCCAACCCCCAAGTTTGAAAAAGATAAGTTGAAAACTGTCTTATATCTTTTTCTTTGGAATGTTAACAGAGTTGGGCACAAAGTATGTACTGAAATTCCTCAAGGTGGTGTTGGGTTAGGCAGCACTGAGTTGGTCCTACTCAGAGCGACCACGTGTAAGACAGAATGAAACACTGCCTGGTCTGCGTCGTCCTCACAAATGTTCTCCATTTTGCAGCCACGCTGTCATTCCCTCTTGTTGAGAGCCTTCCTCTTCTGCACTGCCCCTCCATGTGACCAAGCCCAATGTCCTTCTGCAGGGACTGGTCCCTTCTGACAACATGTTCAAAATATGTGAGAAGAGGTCTCACCATCCTTACCGCTAAGGAGCATTCTGGATGTACTTCTCCAAAAGATAGATCTGTTAATTC